AGAGAGCTCTTCATGACCAGAAATGCTACTGCAGGCTTCTGTCGTTTACAATCAGCCTCGTGCTGAAATGTAAATAGCATCATGATGTTGTGTGTCATCATCAATGATAGTCTGCAGTTTTTTAAATTAAGCTATAATAAATTCACTGTTCCAAAAACAAGAGTCCAAAAGCAACGTCAACAGAACAGTGTGCAAATCTAGTCAAAATATCCTGTCAGTACTTTTGAGACTTTAGTGGAAGGAGTCAAAGAAGGAAAAAAGGAAGGAAATGGAAGCTGATAGAAAAAAAAAAATCCCCTAAGTTCAGTGAATGACAATAATACCAGCAACAAAAAATTAATAGAGATACATAAATCTCACATCCTAAAGCATGAAAAGAAAAGGAACTCATACGGCACTAAAAGTGAGACCACACACAGGCATTGCAGGGTTCAAGTATCCATCTCAGAGCAAGAAAAAGAAAGATACACTAAGAGTATACACCTATACATCACGCGTCATTATACAGGGAATGGGGATCCGACACTTAGAAGGCGCACTTCCTCAGTTTCCTGTTTATGTGCAGACACGCATTAGCATCACACAGCGGAAGGAGTCGCTCAGCTAACCGTATGCTGCCTCCTCACCCCGTTGTTCGGGCCAGTGGTGTGGAACAAAACAAAAGGCTGACGACCCGGATCAGAAGCTGTCCTTCGCCAGCCTTTGACAATCCTGCTGTTGGTCCTTGGCTAAGAGGAGACTCTGCCTTGGGCCCGCTGGTGTAATAAACTGCACTCCACTATCTGCATTGTCCTTCTGAGTGAGTTTGTTTCCCGGAAAGCGTGGCTATAACAAAGCTACGGGTAGAACTGTAAACCAACTGTCTCGTGTTTCCTGAGTTAGCTTACACTCGTGTCTTTTAATAATGTCATTAATCTTTTCAACTTTTTCTGAAGATTGGGCTCTCCAGGAACAGTGTGAGTGATTTCTGTTCCTAGAGCTTTTGACACCCCTTGAGTTACAGCAGCTTTAAAGGTGGAGCCTTGTTGCTCTGAACTTCAGAGTTTAAGATCCCACTTACATCATGAGAAGTCAGTACAGTAAGATTTTGCCCATTCATTAACCTCAGGCTTTAGTGGATACTGCTTTTGATGTGGATATAAGTGAGGGTCATTGAGCTTGATAACGACAGGAACAGCATTTTGTGCTCAACCCATAGTTTTTCCATCAGTCCACACTCTAGGATTTACAGTTTGTTCCATTAAAAAGAGCGGGTCCCATATTTATGAAAACAGAGGCCTGGACCTTGTTGAGTATATCCCTCCCCAGAAGGGGTGAGGGAGACCCTGGCATGATTAGAAACTCATGAACACAGCACAGAGTTCCAGTTGTAGCTTAAAGAAGGATTGACATAATAATGTTTGGCTCATCCAGATAGCCCCATTATGGTAGTGGATCGGGAGGAAAGCAGACCAGCGGCTTTAGTGAGCAGAGAGAAATTTGCCCCAGTGTCCAAAAGAAATGACTGATTGGCCCTCCACAGTTATTAATACCTGAGCTTCCTCAGGTGTAATTAGGACGGGAGATTGTGTGGGGACCCCTGGGGCACCTTCAGTCCAGACTGTCTTGAGAGTCCGACCCCTGGGGCCTACAGCTCAGAGGGCAGTCTCTTCTCCAGTATGGTCCTTTGCAGACAGGACATGGAGCCGGGGGCAGCTTAGATGCCTGAGGGCAATCCCGCTTGAGATGCCCCTCCCTTCCCACAGTAATAGCAAGTCCATCCGTTTTCACCTGGGTTCTTCTGGCCATTTTTCCTCAGGCTGTTTTAGAGCAGATCTAACAGCCATTGTTGGGGCTTCAGTCTTTTGCCTGGTTATTTTTTCCTGTTATTTTCCTCCTCATATTCTCTACCATAAAAATGTCTGAGGCAGCTGCAACAGTTTTTCTAAAGACTGATTTGGTCCAAACGCCTGTTTTCGTAACTTACGGCAGGTATCTAGAGCTGACTGAGCGAGAAATCTATCTTTTAAGATCATTCCTCCTTCTGCACTTTTGAGATCAATATCAGTTAACTTGCAGAGAGCCTTCCATAGTCTATCTAGGAATTTATCAGGAGTTTCCTTCTCTCCCTGTTCTATGTCAGCCAACTTAGCGTAGTCTAAAGTCTTAGCATGTGTTGCTTAAGTCCTTCAAGAATACATCCGGCAAAGCAGCTGTTATTGGAACCATTTGGTTCCCAGTAGGAAAGAGGGCTATTTTGTGTTCCCTCTTTCCCCTTGTCTCATGGTCAAGCCATTCATCTCCAAAAGTAGTAGGAAAAAAAAAAAAAGAAAATCCTGCTCTTGAGAGCGGTAACATTTTTCAAAGACTTAATCAGCAGAAACACTTGTGAACTCTTGTCAGGTAATCTTCCACCATCAGTCTGGATGCAGAGACAGGGGTCCCCCCACCCCACCCCCTGCCTGTGTGGGCGACACTAGCCTACTTCCCAGGAGAGTGGGGCACCTCTGCCCACGGCGGGGCAGAGGCAGGATGAAGGAAACTTTGCCAAAGAGACGCAGAGCCACGGACGCAGCTTTAGACTCATGCCACAGGGCAGCCGTGGGTCCCAGCAAGCCAGGCCTCCAGGCTGGGGAGTCAGCAGCAGCAAAAATGAAAGTACTCCTTTTCCTTTCCTTTGGAACCTGGAGCTGTTCAAAACAGAATTTCAAAATCATGACGTAACTACCTAATTTTCATAGCACTGCTTTTACCGTCTGCACAGAAACAATATACGAAACAGTAATGTGTGTGTGTGTGTGTGTGTGTGTGTGTGTGTGTAAAACTGGCACAAAGATACGTCTGCATCTAGTAGAAACTGCATACTAGAATCTTGGATATTTTATGACCATTATATAAAATATATATGGTGGATTTGAAAAAAAATCCTCTTGAAATTAAAATATTGGCCTTACTTAAGCTCTTAAGGGTCTCTTTTGTGAATACAGTACAGAGAATTCAGACAAGTGTAACAGAGGAAACAACTTAAAATCCAACTCGGTCAAGGGCCAGCTGACACGCTCACGTGCAGGCATCCCGGCGGGCTTCGTCAGGTGTCCCCCCGAGCCCCTGCTGCGATGAGGGGCCTGCAGTGTCACAGGGCATCCAGAGAAAGCAAGACAAAGCGCAAACCCTCAAGGTTTGGAAAGAGGCTTCCTATCCTAACCTGATAGGAACGATGAGGTTTTATGTCCATGTGAAGTGACACGGCTCAGAAATACCAGAAAAGATGTTACCAAGGATGCACCATCATGTCTCCAAGGAAAAGTATTACATTCACAAAATCAGAAAGAGCTTCACAGTGGAGACAGCATTTTAGATGGTCCTTGAAGGGTGGGCAGATTTCAAAATCTGGAGAGAAAAACAAAAAAAAGCCTGGAGAGGGAGAAGAGGGGGCAAGCAGAATGAGTAGTCACACAGGCAGAAAGTTCAACTCAGCCGCTCAGTCGTGTCCGACTCTTTGCGACCCCATGGACTGCAGCACACCAGGCCTCCCTGTCCATCACCAACTCCTGGAGCTTACTCAAACTCATGTCCATCGAGTCAGTGATGCCATCCAACCATCTCATCCTCTGTCGTCCCCTTCTCCTCCTGGCCTCAATCTTTCCCAGCATCAGGGTCTCTTCCAATGAGTCAGCTCTCCGCATCAGGTGGCCAAAGTACTGGAGTTTCAACTTCAACATCAGTCCTTCCGATGATATTCAGGACTGATTTCCTTTAGGAGGGACTGGTTGGATCTCCTTGCAGTCCAAGGGACTCTCGAGAGTCTTCTCCACAACCACAGTTCAAAAGCATCAATTCTTCACAGAAAAGACGGAGGTATTTCCTGGGCTGTGTGCCCTACAGACACAGATTCTGAGAGAAGCCAATAGATGTGCTTACAAAACAGTCCACAGTCAAGTAAGTTTGGAAAATACTAACCCCGCCTGGAAATTCACAGTGCACACCAACACAGGGGAGGTTCTGAGGAAGTAGCTGTGCAAACCCAAGCCTCCCAAACTCATCTCACTCACTGCAAAGCACATCTGTAAAAGACCGATCGCAAGTACTGAAACGGAATCTGTGATTTTAAAACTCCCAACAAACAAAAGTCCAGGACCAGGTGACCTCGCAGGCAAATTCTACCAAATACCTGGAGATGAGTTAACCCCAGAAACTATTCCAAAAATCTGCAGAGGGAGGAACACTTCCAAACTCACTCTGTGAGGCCACCTTCACCCTCATACCAACACCAGACAAAGACACCACGAAAGAACACCTATGGAGTCTTCATTTCCAGAATGACTATCAAGCAGAACTGGAACAAGGCTAGCAGAGTAAACCTGGGACACTGTACAATGCCTCCAACACTGAACTGAGAAACACGGAATTTACGAATGACAGTTGTGCAGGGGTGAACGTGATTTCAGACGCGTTATACACTGGGGTTTCAGGGCGAGCATCCACCGGGAATCAGCATGCTAAGTAATTCATTTCAATAGTGTGTGTACACCTTCTGCTGAAACCTTCCTTAGCTTCACTTTATGGTACAAAAGAACAAGCAACTACGTAACAGGAGAAACACACGCTGGTCAGAGGACGAGAAAAGCCACGCAGCAGACGGCGCTGTGGGCGCTGGGCCGACAGATGCAGAGACGGGCCGGGCGCAGGCACCGCCTCGCCTCTGCCCCCACAGCCCGGCAGCAACTCCCAGAGCCTGCAGGTCGCTCAAGTTAGAAGCCAAAGCTGCCTCCTTTTTTTTTTTTTTTAATATATGTCCATGAGAACTAAATATTCTAAAACAGCATTTTATATCAGAAACAATTCTGATTTAAGCTTGGAAACTCATAATCAGCATGTTCAGCACCTGACTTCCTAAAGGAACTGTACAGGTTCTGCTTCCTTCCTCACTGTACCTGTAGCCACTTGTGAGCACGTGTGCGCGCGTGCACTCTCTCTCTCTCTCTCTCTCTCTCAAGGCAGCATTTATTAGAACAAGTTACCTGTGGCTGGAACTGAGGAACAGGTGGCCCTTGCATTCCTTGTGATTGCTCATCCATTGTCTGAAGCAGCAGGAACTTCTGAACTCTGCAAAAAATGTCAAGTGGAAATTTAAATAGTGCAGTCATTAGCACAACACAATCCACACTTGAGATGAGCCCAATGCTTCAAAAATGGCCATTAAGCATTCCCTACTCTCACCTGCCATTTGCTAAATCCAAGTTCTGTTTGGCTAACACAAGTAGTTACTGTCTCAACTCATATTCTCAAAAGCAGCATTTCCCACTTAGAAAATGCTATTTTGTACAATGAAATCCTCTCTTCTCCATTACGTTTTAAAGATCAAAGAGGCTCCCGCTCCGTCCCCAATATGAGAAGACAATCACCATGGAAAGCTTCCTGTAGTCATGAGCAATGCTTTACATCCCCAAACGCACCTCATCTTATGCTCCACACATGTTAGCACTTGTGTTCTTCAGGTCCAACTAAACTTCTTCCTGTGGTTTCTAGGCCTATGTTTAAAAGGCCAGTCCTCATATGAGGACTTATGCAGACCTTCCTTGTGATTATAAGGCGTCCATCCATTAATTCAGTTAACACAAGCTGAAAACCATATGCCAAGTCCTGCACAAGGCTCAAGAACTGAGCTATAAGTGAAACACAGCAAACACCTGTGTCCACAAGCCACTTCTGATTCTACACAACACCAAGTATCTCTAGGCTCTTCATAAGTGTAATTTTATAACTAAAATCTGTGGGTTAAAAAACTAGGGCCTGTTAGGATCAATAGAGAAACTAAAACACATTTTCACTTCATTATACCCTGTAAAAAGCTATAAAAAGGTTCTAGACATGGGTCATTTGTATTGCAAATACTTTTTCCATCCTGTGACTTGTCTTTTAAAAACCTTCCCAATGGCATCTTTTAATTAACTTGTTAACTTCTGAAATTTAACAAGTTCTAATTAACCAATCTTTTCCTTTATGGTTAATGCATTTGTATACAAAATGCTTAAGTATTTAAGAATAATTTTCCTATTGTAAATTCTCACACATTATCTTCCAACATAAGCTTTATTGCTCTGCCTTTCATATTTCTTTTTTTCATTTATTTATATTAGTTGGAGGCTAATTACCTCACAATATTGTAGTGGTTTCTGCCATACATTGACATGAATCAGTCACGGATTTACATGTGTTCCCTATCCTGAACCCCCCTCCCATCTCCTTCCCCATCCCATCCCTCTGGGTCTTCCCAGTGCACCAGCCCTAAGCACTTGTCTCATGCATCAAACCTGGACTGACGATCTGTTTCACCCTTGATAGTATACTTGTTTCAATGCTCTTCTCTCAGATCATCCCACCCTCGCCTTCTTCCACAGAGTCCAAAAGTCTGTTCTATACATCTGTGTCTCTTTTTCTGTCTTGCATATAGGGTTATTGTTACCATCTTTCTAAATTCCATATATATGCGCCAGTATACTGTATTGGCCGTTTTTGCCTTCCATATTTCTATCTGCAATTGGCCTGGAATTAAAAGTTTTGTACAATGTAAGGTGAAGTCAATATCAGCTTGTTTTTCTACATGGCTATCCAACTGACTTCAAATCATTTACTGCAAAGATTACCCTTTATCCACCCACGTCTCACTACAGTGCTACTATACCCACCTCAAAATATATCAAATGACTGCACATATATATATACTATACTAATGTCTGGTGTAGCTTTATTATAAAGTCTAGATATATGCCTAATCATATTTCTGATTTTAATATAAAGTTTAGAACCAGCCTGTTTGTTTCTACATTAAAAAAAAAAAAGTAAAAACTACTGGGATTTTGATTAGGATTATAACAACTCTATAGATCTGGAGAGACCTTTCATTTTAATAATATTGGGCCTTCAAACCCATAAACATAGGATATCTTATTAACAGGTTTAATTTCTTTCAAGAATGGTCTTCACTTTCCAAACTGGTCTTTCACATCTTTTTTTCAGGTTATTTCCTAAATATATCTTGATACTATAAGTGTTTTTATTTCAATTTTCTGATAGTGTACAGAAATACAATTGATTTCTGTATATTGACCCTTTATCTTACAAACCTGCTAAGCTCAGTTAATGGTTCAAGTAGATTTTCTTTAGATTCTTGTCTTGTTGCAATGGCTAGTACTGCCAGTACAATGAACAGAATCAAAGGCATCCTTTTCTTGCTCCTATCTGAGTATGAAGGCATTCAGTCATTTGCCACTGTATGATGTAAGATGGACATTTTTCATAAATGCCCTAATTTATCAGGATGAGACAGTACCCTTCTCTTTTCACTTTGCTGGAAGATTTTATGAAGAATAGAAGTTAGGTTTTCGTCAAATTCTTCTGTGTCTGAGCTAATTAAACACTTTTTTAAAATGCTGAATTTTGGTGGCTCATTTACTTTGAATTTTGAACATTCATTTTGGAAAATGTTTAGCCATATTTCTGGGATGAACCCCCATTTAGTCATGATACATGATCATATTTATGTATTGTTGGATTCAACTTTATACAGTGTTGAATTCAAAGAGGGAGGAAAGGGAAGAAGAATGAGAAGCCCAGTAATGAATTAGAATAAATTTTAGTGTGAAATCTGAATCATTAAACAATTAAGAAACAATAATTTAAGGCTACACATTAAGGCTACACTGATTATTTAAAACGTGTATAAGCAACAAGGACACTTTTGCAAAAGGTAATATAAATTAAACAGTACCTCCAGCTTAGGAAAAGAAAAACTATTACAAGCCAACTACACATCCAAGATGGTGTCTTGCAACTTAATGCTATTACTCTAATGCAGGACAGATTATTGCTCAAAACTGCACATTTCAGAACATCAATAAATTCTCATTTTTCAAAGCAAGGTGACATCAGAATAAAGACTTTTAAAATTAAAAAAAAATCTATATCATTAAAACCAGTATTTCACATCTAGTGCCCCGTACAGTTTACATGAGACAACCCATGGGAAAAAAGCCCTCCTGGTCTGACACCTCTGTGAAACACCACTCACTATACGAAGCTCTCTTACAGGGTCGCAGTAAATACTAGCACACTAAAGGATCCAAGCAGGCCTGCAGCTAAAAGAGAAAACAAAAAAAACCTTCACTTACATTGAACTTATTTAATCACAAAACACTTTCTTTGTGCAGCATATTTTAATAGCCCACAGTCTGCCTAACTGCACGAGGACGCTATGGGAAATGAGCTAGATTATAAAAAAGTGGGTTTCATCATCCCTCCTGATGTGTGCCATGCCTAAGCAAATAAAATTATGAAGAAAGGAAGGCAAAATGAAAAAAATAAAGAAAACACACAAAAAGAAACTTAAAATTCAAAGAAACCTGAGAAGTGACTGGCAGTCTGCATCACTGGGAAATCACTTCTGCAACATCCCAGACCAGCAGCCCCTGCTTAGAAAGGAAAGCCTGTGTGGCATTCTCATACTGCACATGAACTTGGTAATACAATGAGCAAGGAGCAAAAAAATTTTCTTTGCATAATATCTAACACGGCTCCAGGTGTCACTAGATTCTAATTGCTTCTGTTGAAAAATACTGTATCAGTGTTTACATGCAGATCTAATATTATCATGTTTTCAGAGGCCATACATGCTTGTATATTATCTCTCAGGTAGCCCCTCATAAGTAAAGACATGTAATGTGTGAGTGTTAGACACACACTCCGTCTTCTGCATCGTAAATGCCAGGTTGCAGGCACCTGTGCTCACTGTCCACAGTTCTGCTCCCAGCGCTTAGTTCAATGCTTGGCACAAAATGAGTGCTGAGCGACTATTTACTGAATAAATGAATGAATGTATCTCTATCAAAACATCAAATAATAACTGCTACAATTTAATAAGTCTAAAATCAACAGTGAGTAAAATTATGATCAAATTCAACAAATTTGGCAACCAGTCCTTCCATCAAAAAAGGCTGCCCAAAGAAGATGCTACCTGAACTGGGTTTTAAATAAAGAGGAGACACTCACACAGGTTAGATGAGGCAAGGAAGACAGGAAATCTGGAGAAAGGAAAGAACACATCAAAATACCCAAAAGCAGAGCACAACATCATGTAAGTAAAATTAAAATTGGCAAGTGGTGAGAGATAGCTGGGGGGAGTTAGGCTAACTTTTATGATAGCCCCTTTATTCAACTGCTATCAGAGAGCTAATGCTGTGTTTCAAGCAGCTAAGACAGGGAAGTGCCCTTTCTGAAACACAATCTTTCCTGCCGTATGACAGAGGAGAAGGGCTCACAACTTCAAGACAGACCTGTCAAGAAGTGACTGTAACAATCCAGACAAGAGATGATAAGGGCCGTCACCAAGGTCCTCCGATCTGACCTCAACCAGCATTCAACACAACTATCTCACTTTCTGGAAATGTTCTGTGCCCCATGTACTCTCATATAATAACTCCTTTTTCTAAGTTCCTTTTCCAATCTAACATTTATGTCCAAGTGCTCTACGATATGAATCTTCTTTTTTTTTTAAACCTACATTCTTTCAGGTCATCCTTTCCAGTCCCGTGACTTGATTACTATCCATCTATGATTACTCTGAAATTTATCTCATCTGTTCTGAGCTCTAAACCACAAACACCAATAGCTGAATGACCATCTAGTATCTTCACAGTTTTTGAACAGAAGATCCCATCTGCCATTTATAAAAAAAAAAAAAAAAAGTAGCTAAGTTCTCTAATCATCTTTCTCTCCTTACATTATCACCATCTCCTCAGCTGATCCAGCCCAAACTTCTCAAACTTCTGGATCTCACAACCTCTTTATCTGAGAACCCCAAAGAGCCCTTCTTGCTCACGGGGGTCATAAATACCTCTATTTCTCATGTTAGAAATCAAAATGGAGAAATGTTTAAAATACATACTAATTCATTTACAAATAATAGCAATAAATCATTATATGACTATAACATATTTTTATGAAAAACAGCTATCTTTGCAAATACTAGAAGAGAAGGACTGTTTTGCATTTTGTTAAATTCTTTAATGTCTATCTGCAGAAAAGCAGCAGCTTCTTCATT